GTAAAATACTTTATTTTAGCTGGAAGTAATTTTTTGCTAAAAAGACTTTTTGGGGTGTTTTGTATGGAATTTATTTTTCACTGATTTATGACGAGTTGAATGTGAAATATAGGAAGAAATGTATATTCACTGGATTTTATTTTCACTGAATAATTCCTTCAGCTAAAATAGCGAAAATTAATTCTAAGCGAAAATAAAGTATTTTACAGTACTATCTTATTTTGTATCTGTGATTTATTTTCATGGTTGTCCCAATGGGAAACTATAGGTTTCATATGTGGTTGTACTATGCTAATTATGGTAGTCGGGACAACCGGACAATCAAGACATAACATTGCTGTCACTTTATATATTTAGTCTAAATCATTACCTAGTTATATATTTGACATTCCTGAACGATTTGAACATGACACATTTGTATATACATGTATTAGTATATTACAATTATTAGTTAAAGTTGCACTTGACACTCATTCTAACCTAGAAAGGTGAGAAAAATCATTATTTATGCACCCTTTGATAACTTGGTAAATGTTAAGTGAGAGTGTGTAGAAATAGTATGAATACCCAGTGTCCCAGGATTTAGGGGTGGCAAACTGTGCGTTTACGTTGCACATGGAACGGTCGTCTCAATATAGGTCAGTTGAAGCTTCTGAAGCTGTAGCAACCATATACTCTACTACAAGGGTTCGGTCAGTGCGCCAAGTTGTGCAGAGTAATCACTGTTGTTTTTCCAGGCTTTTGTTTATTACCGATTACATTCAAACCTTACCTTGTATCTTGGGATGCATCTGTATGGCTATTCATTTAACAATTCAATTCAAGATGGCTGAATGGCAGCCATTTCTGTGTTAATAATTCAGTAAAATCAAACATTTCTGTGAATTATGTTCAATACAAACATTAGACAATTTGTTTCTCAGGACAGATTCAAAATTGCAACCATTTTGTTTCAATGAATGCAGTTCTGGAGGTATATTTCTAACATTCCCAGACATTTTCAAACTTTACACATAATATATTGTGTCACATGTATGCATTTATTTACGAGCGCCATTTTGTTTTTGATTTACTAACTTACCCGACGCGAGTCAGCGTGTTAGCTCATTTTATAGTATGAAAACTTTGTTTAACCATAATATTTTTTTTCAATATAGATTTGTACATTAACTTTTTGGTGATGTGGTTAGTTTTTTGGCTCAGATGTTCGTATTTTGACAAATCACAGTAATATGTTCTGTTCTGTTTGAAGTTTGTGATCACAGTGCTAAAGTTAGTGTACGCTCAGTTTTGTGGCTCATTGTCCAAGGTGTGAATGGTTTATTTACCCGGAACCAGCCCTGGGACAATACTGTAAAATGACTAATTTTCACTGGGTTTAAATTTTGCTGATTTACCATTTCAGGCATATTCAGTAGGTTTTAAATTCACGGTTCTATCATTTAGAGAATGTGTTCTATGCTAAATTTTACATATTCACTGGGTTTTAAGTTAGCGCATTTTCCAGTCAACGAAATAAGCAAAATTAAAACCCAGTGAATAATTAATCATTTCACAGTAGACTGCGAAGCGTTTCCAGACCGGGGATAGAGGGACTGTACTGGTTTAATGAATGCTGTTTCAGAACTATATCTCTGGGCCTGACTGACCATGTTCTAACATCAGATATATATCATACATCATGTTTCACAAATGCATATTTATTCATCCACTGATCCAATTCAATATAATAGAATAACATTTGTTATAATTTTAAAAATTCATCAAAATCAAGCATTTCTGGATTTGGATCTTGTTTGTGCATGGACAGATTTCGTTCAAAATTAATATGTACATTGAACATTATAGTACCTACATGCACCTTATTTTATTGTTTTCAAAATGTTTTATTTTGAGAACTCACAAGAATTATGTATAAATGCAATTACTTGTTATTTATTCATTTTGCAATCTTTGGTAAAAAAAATGTCGTTTTTGACCTTTTCTTGAAAATACCATACCTGATTGTTCTGACCTTTGATGTAATAGTACCTTAGGGGGATTCATTTGTAACAATAATTTCAGTGCAATCTTTTATAGAGCAGATTGCTTTCAGTCAATGCATTACAAATAACAGAGCTATGTCAGCTGTCACACTAATTTGTCATTTATTATCATGTCTATTTTAGAGCTGGAGTAATGTGTGAAGAAATGACTGCATTGAGAGTCAAATGGAGACATATCATATTTTTAGTAACATGGCTAGCATATGCATCTTCATATTTATTAAGGAAACCTCTGGGAGTGGTGAGTAATACAAATGTGATAAACCATGCTACCGTATATTACTATATTTTGCGAAATTTTGTAGCACTGGGGGTACCGATACTTCGGTTTTGCCCCAATCTGATTAAAATCTGATGTAGGTGTAGGCTCCAATATTTTTTTTAATTTTTATATTTTTTTATTGTTTATTTATGGATATTTTATTGTTTTACCTGTCGTTATTAAGTTTTTTTATACATCCTATCTCAGTCCCTTTAACTACACCTGACTAAATGCATATGGAAATCCATTAAGGCGATACATAAAGAATATCAAGTAAAACCAAAATAATACCGGTAGTAATAAATAAACAATAATAACAATAAAAAAAATATGTAAAAAAAATTAAATAAAAAATAAGCAATCTAAACCTACATTGAATTTCTTTCAGATTGGTTGTGCCCAATTTTGTGACAGCTTCATTGAGCTTGTCTTGTCTTCCTGAAAATCAGAGCTAGAGTAATGCCGCTCAGAAGCAGCATGGGAGCAGAACCTTGAGTTTCTTGGGTTGAATTATCATAAGGGGTTCTAAATGCAAGAAGTCACAGTAACTTTGTGAAATTTTGCACTCTTAAACAATGTACTGAGTAATCATTAAATCGCCAAAGTACCTAGCAGTGAAAATAAAATGCTTTACACTAAATCACCATTATCGTATTTGTCCTATTAGAAGCACATTTCCAATAGAAGCGCATGTAAACCAACAATTACGTGTATTGTCTACTGAATCATTAAAATATTACTTATTTTAAAATGTTTCCTCTGTCAAACTCGTAACAAA